CTTTTTAAACGATAGAACTCAAAGTGAACAGTTTTTCTCAAAGGAAGCTATATTCAAAACAGTCTTGTTTCTCTTAGCTTTGAACAGTTCTGACTCGCCGATTAACGAGGTCGCATGTAGCTCGCCGTGATCGTCTAGAGGTTAGGACATTGCGTTGTGGCCGCAATAACCCAGGTTCGAATCCTGGTCACGGCAATATCGCTGTGGGAGTGTATTGTCGCGGCAGTGCGACCCTTCTTTTTTTAATGAACTACAGACTTCGATTAATGTAGAAGTATCAGAATTGAAATGTTTTTTTGTTTGTTCATGTGAAATAATTTTTTTCAAAACTTTTTAACACGGACAAGGCCCCCCTCCCCTTAAAATGAAACCGCCTCTCCAGCCGCTCGCAGTAGAACTAGAAGCGCTTCCCCGCTATAGAAGTTTGGATAGGAGGCTAAGTTAAAATAATCATCGCCAATTATGTGTTTAACTGTTTTGTTGTTTGATGCTTTTAATCTTGGGACTTGTCTTGTAGCTGGCCGTGTTACGCCGAAGGGCGGTTATACGGGCTATACCGATACAGATAGCTGTAGGGTCAAGCCAGTTGTCAAATATCTGTATCTGTATCTGTATAGCCGGTATAACCGCCCTTCTGCGTAACACACCAGCTTCGCAGGCACGTGGCGCGGCGGCAGCTGGCTATATCACACCGAACGACTTGTTACACTTAATCTTTGCACATTTGATTGCAGGAGTTGTTTAAATAAAGCTTTTTAGTGATGATGCCCCAACTGTGCTTGGTGGCAACGAGTTCCAGTCTACGATAGTTCTGGGGAAATACGAGTTCTTGAATACCTCAATTCTTGGTTGATAACTCTGATATTTGAAGGCATGACTGTTTCTTGTTCTTTTCTGGGCTGGTATCAGATACTTATAATAAATGCTGTGAGGGAGTTGCAAAATGCTGGTCCACATCTTGTGGGTGTGCCTCATGCACTGCTTTAAGGCCGCATTAGTATCATAATTAATTTTTTTACTCTGTACATAATGATATTTGATAATTTGTACATTATTAATTCTGTGTATAATTTTTACCGAATTGTATATTTCATGTCTACTGATTTTTGATGTCTAATGTTTATTGTTTGATTTGGTTCCGTATTGTTTTGTATTATCATTTCAGGTTTGGGAGGACAACTTGTAAAGGCGTTGATACACCTGTTTTGTCCTCCCTTCCACTTGTTTTTGCATGTGGTAAATTCAAATAAAGAAATAAAGAAAATTTGACCTGCGAGCTTTATACCGTGCTGCAGGACTGACGGCCCTCCACCAGGCTGCGCTCGACGGCAACATTGACTTCGTGAAGCTGCTGGTTCGTCACGGGGCGAAGGTCAACTGTCAGGACGAGGACGGGTGGACGCCGCTCCACGCAGCCGTGGCAGAGGGACACCCTCAGGTACGATTTGCAAGGCCAGGTTGATTTTATTACATCTATATGGATGACATCCTCTGGGAACACAAAAACTCATGCGAGCGTGCGTATAAAAAAAGTTTAGCAAAAGAAGTTGCCTTCATTATAAAATCTGGGTGGTCAAATTACTAAATACAGAGTATGGCACGCAGCGGTGGCAGAGGGACATCCTCAGGTAGGTAACGGGACAAAATTACAAGGTAGTGTAATGACACATACGTTGTGTCTTGTACATTTAATGTAGCCAAGAGTCCAATAATGTTAGATTTGATTTAAACTGTTATACGCCAACGTTGGTGGGGTAGCAAATCGCCCGAGGGCCGAAGGAATCGCCAGACGCCCGCGGGTGGGATGGGACCAAGGGTGGTGTGGAATACACGTTCATTTTAATACATTTTAGTAGTACATTAAAATGCGAAATGTGCCAATATTTGGTGTCCGTAAACAAAAAAAGATTGTTACAACATCAATTCCAACGCCCGAATCCGGTATTCGAATGTTCGAAAGAGACGCAAGCGAAACGCGTTCGCCAAGTTATTCTATGGAACTTTTGGAATTCCATGTGATACTTGTAACCAGATAGCTATATATATCACCCCCATGAAACTCCTTCCTCTTCGCCCCCGCCGTTCTGCTTCGCCCCCGCCCCGTTCTGCTTCGCCCCCGCAAAAAATCTGCTTCGCCCCCGTCGTTCCTCTACGCCCCCGGCGCAATTCTGCTTTGCCCCCGTCCTTCTGCTTAGCCCCCAATGGCGGCACAGCTCACAGTCGACACGAAAATCGTCTGCAAAATAACAATAAAGGCTGTGCCGCCAAATTTAAAGTAGCCCATGCTCCGACAAACATTCTGGACCACCTTTCTGCCAAGTGGCGTTGCACAAATCCTTCCCATTCAAAAGTTTACCCCTACCTCACGGCCCGTCAGTGGTTCTTACGTTTATAAGTACTGGCGTTTATAAGTACAGCCGTGAGTGAAATTTCCCGCCAGTACTTATAAACGTAAGAACCACTGACGGGCCGTGAGGAAGGGGTAAACTTTTGAATGGGAAGGATTTGTGCAACGCCACTTGGCAGAAAGGTGGTCCAGAATGTTTGTCGGAGCATGGGCTACTTTAAATTTGGCGGCACAGCCTTTATTGTTATTTTGCAGACGATTTTCGTGTCGACTGTGAGCTGTGCCGCCATTGGGGGCTAAGCAGAAGGACGGGGGCAAAGCAGAATTGCGCCGGGGGCGTAGAGGAACGACGGTGGCGAAGCAGATTTTTTGCGGGGGCGAAGCAGAACGGGGCGGGGGCGAAGCAGAACGGCGGGGGCGAAGAGGAAGGAGTTTCATGGGGGTGTATATAGAACCCCCGTGTGACACTGCTAGTTACCATAACTTATGATTTAAAGTTTAACACCACATATAAAGTTTATTATCTCCCGCTTTGCAAATTTTACCTTTCTAGTTGTTAGCCTGACTAAATCGCGCTCCTGGCGGCCGCCCGCCCCAGAGGTTTGCCGCCGTCTTGGGGTGGGGGGTCATTAATTCCCGGCCGAGAGCTTGTGTAAACACAGGCTATCTACGCCAAAGAAACAGTTATTCAAGCAACTCGATATTTATTTATTTATTTCATTTAGCACATTTTGCAGATATAATTTTTTTTAAACGGTCAGACGTTTCAGGTAGCATCCACTACTTTTCGTCTGTGGCTCTAGAGACTGTCTTTCTCCTGCAAGTCTCTAGTCATATCCAGTTGCTTGAGTAACCTTTTTTTTTTGCGCATCTGGATGTTTGACCTTCACCGACGTTACCTTTCTAGTTGTGCGCTAATGTTTATTTTTTCTCTCCCTCAGGTTGCCCGTTTCCTGATCCGGAGCGGCGCGCGTCGGAGCGTGCGGAACGCGGACGGCGACACTCCGGAGGAGCTGGTGGAGGAGGAGGACGCGGAGATGGAGAGCGTGTTCCGGGAGGAGGTGGAGGGCGTGGAGGGGGCTATCGGGGAGGCGGATGAGGAGGGGGCTCTGGGAGGGGAGGAGGAGAACGGAGGCGCCGTGGAGTGGAGTGACTCTGCCGGGATTTCTGTCAGATTCTATAACCCACAGAACGACGACGACGACGATGGTGATGATGACGATGATGATGAAGAAGATGATGATAATTACCGCCATATGAATGGCAAGGATGAAGATGAAGAGGAAGAGGACGACGAGGAAGATGAGGATATTGCAGCCAAACGTTTTTTGGCGAAGCTCAGACGAGATTCGGTTTACTTAGTGAAGCAGAAGAGACAATCGGAGGCAGACGCGGAGTCCTAAGTAGTGTACAAAAATACAAAGTAAAGATGTGTTTTGTTGTTGTCCAGGTAGAACTGCGATGTAGTTGCCACGACTTGGAACTAACGGTTGTGAAGGACTGCCGGAGCCCAGAGCATCATACATAAGACACTCGTATCCTCGTGCCAACAATATATATATATATTCCAAGGCTAACTAAAAAGACCGCTGGCACTGTGAATGTAATTTCCTGCACAAGAAATTGGACATACCCATCTTTTCTACTGTACAACTACAGACTTTGTCAAGACATTGGCAATCCAACGCTTCTGTGACGTCACGTTATGCTCTTACGTGACTCGGTGAGCATTGCATCGTAAGTTGCAGGAAGTCTGTGGCTTCCCCCGTCCTTGTTGAGGGATGGTTACGATGCCCTGATGTAGATGGCCTCTTCAATATTATTGGTTTACTGTTTGTACATAGGAAAAGAGGGGAAAACTTACTCTCCAAGCAGAGGTTTTGGTTTTGGGGGTATTTTTAACATGTTTTTAGGCTTTTTTATCGGGGTTTCTCTTTTGCACTGAATTTTTTTTCCCACCAAACCCAACAAAAATTCAGTGCAAAAGAGAAACCCCGATAAAAAAAAGCCTAAAAACATGTTAAAAATACCCCCAAAACCCAAACCTCTGCTTGGAGAGTAGGGAAAACTAAGCTCGTGGCATGTGTACAACGGAGTACTTCGGTCACAACCGCCATCAGGCGACGCACGGTGGTACTGCAACATCGGTGTTTCTGTGGGACGTTGTATACAGTACATAACCGAATCTTTTGGCTCTCTGACGTTCTTATGATTGTGAATGACGCATATATGTCAAAGTTAGTGGGAAGGAGGGGGGGGGGGGCTTTTTAAATGATAGCCCGCCATCATCGTAATACGTGAGGCCATGTTGATTTGATTATATGGATGACATCCTCGCGCGCATGAATTTTCGGCCGTTTCCAAAAAAAAAAGTTTTCAACCATACTGTAAATCGTACAAAACAGTTGCAAAATGAGCAAAAATATACCATAAGTTACCAAAAAAATTAATAAAAACTATACCAATGTCGTAGAATGCCAAAATCAGACGAAAAAAGACGAAATTGTAAAGAAATGAACTTGAAGACTAGATTATTCGCCAAACCATATTCTGTGCCATTTGCTCAACCCTCATGACCACGTAGATTTCATAATGAAAAGAACTTTTTTTTCTTGCAAAACTTTTTTTTTATTCGCACGCGCGCATCAGTTTTGGGGCTCCCGGAGGATGTCATCCAGATAATCAAATCAACATGGCCTAATATGTGATGTAGAATTGGACTTCACGGACATCACCCCTGTTTTAACAGCCAGACGAAGGGGTGAGGTGGGCAAAGATGTTACTAGTATCCGGAGGAATGGAATATCTGAGTCCTTTTGAGACTTTTGTAATTTAAAGATCTTTCTCTCTGTACGGTCTCAACAATTACTGATTCGGGGTTCCCGATGACTAGTGTGGCGTCATTTTCACATGTCCGTTCACGGTTCTCGTGTGATGTCGCGAACACTTTTTTTAATAGCGAAGTTTTTCTTTTATTCACAAACACTTGTTTAAGAAGAATCAACGTTTTTAGATGACCGTCTGTCATCTTCATCAAGGCAATGAAGCAACCAGCTTCAGGAGTGCATAGTGAACCAGTCATAACTGTCCCAATGAAACTAACAGACGGTCATCAAAATGTGGCTCTTGCTCACACAATTCCTCACTTAATTAATAAGTGAAAATGAACAAGTATGTCTGTTGTCCGTACGTTTGTCTGCATTGATGGCGGCATAAAAAGAAGTTGGAAAAACTTGAGTGTGCCGTCGTCGTGTATTGTGACAAATGTTGGAATAGAAACAAGTGGTTGTAATTAAAGAATCATTCACCAAACTGATGAAATTATTCTCGGATACACAGCCCTTTTTTGTTTTCTCTGTCTACAAATTTAAACAAGTGGGAATCGCAGAATGTTGACATTAAGGCGTTTCTGTATTTATTGTTTAAAAAAGCGATGTCGTTCTTCAGTGCGCATGCGTTGTAAACAGGCGTGCGCGTGTCATTTATTAATTGTTTATTTCTTCTCGTTGAATGTTCGAATGTTACTCCAGTTTACTTTTTACGACTTAATATTTAAAATTATAATAAAAGTGGTGAAAAAGTATCCCCTGTGTGTTTTGTTCTAACGTTGTTTATAACCATGGTAAAGACGAATATTAACACTACGAATGGAAATGTCCTGGTATTATTAAAAAAATTTATAACCTCCAAGCTGATGTTTTAGTGGCTGCAAGACGGTATCAAATTGGCAAGGCAATATCATATGCAAGGCATTATCCAAGGTTGGTTGGCGAAAAAAATACTAGTACAAAAAAGAAAGCCCGACAAAAACGTCTAAAACACCTAAAAATAAGCCAACGCCTTTCACCCTCTGCTTGGAGAGTAGTCTTTCTCGGCACACGTAGAAAAATACTAGCAATTGGAAACAAGTCTTATTATATTGTGGAACCATATTCTGCCAAGACAAACAGACACCAAAAGAGAATTTCAGTCGTCTAGTTTATGTTTATTAGGAACTCCATTAATAGAAAAATGACATAACAACAATACAATATAACAATATACATTCCACTATAATTATTTGATAACTACATAGATAACACGTTGATACCGATTGCTAATAAATACCAAACCACGACTACTCGTTGCAGGTCTAGTGATACTCTCCAAGCAGAGTTTTGGGTTATATTTTTGGCGTGTTTTTAGACTGACTTTTTATTGGGGTTTCTTTATTTGCANGGTAAGGCCATGTTGATTTGATTATATGGATGACATCCGCGCGCGCATGAATTTTCGGCCGTTTACCAAAAAAAAAGTTTTCAACCATACTGTAAATCGTACACAAAACAGTTGCAAAATGAGCAAAAATATACCATAAGTTACAAAAAAAACTATACCAATGTCGTAGAATGCCAAAATCAAACGAAAAAAGACGAAATTGTAAAGAAATGAACTTGAAGACTAGATTATTCGCCAAACCATATTCTGTGCCATTTGCTCAACCCTCATGAACACGTAGATTTCATAATGAAAAGAACTTTTTTTTTTTGCAAAACTTTTTTATATCGCACGCGCGCATCAGTTTTGGGGCTCCCGGAGGATGTCATCCATATAATCAAATCAACATGGCCTAAGACTTTCGCGGGCAAATACCCGAATTTCATCCTTAATATTACATAGTACATAGAGCATTAAAAACAATGATTTGTGACACTCTTCAATGTGACATGAAACAACATGGGCAAACACACTATTAAGACATATTCGAAGACGATTACACAATTAAAATCTATGTACAATATGCAGTTATCACGCAGGATTTAGCTAGGTACTATATATATAACACTACTGCTGAATTGTCTAGTTATAGAGGCGAACAGCGCAATGAAGGAACGTACGAGTTGCAAAGTCTCTTAACGTGTGACGTGTGACACTGCTAGTCATCATATAGTTAAACGCGACATATAAAGTTTATTATTTATATTATTTAACCAAGGAAAACATATTGCTTTTGTTCTGTTTCCTCTTCTTTTCCAAACCAATACGGTCAATGACCTGAACCAGACGTCTGTCACCATATTAATTAGTGTTGGGTTACATCATGTTGCATTTTTATAGCAGGAGGGATTTAGACTACTGTATGAATGTGTTTGAGTAGGAATTAACAGAGCAGACGATATGCGAAGGTAAACATTATGCATTTGCTTTGCAATTGTTACTTTCCAGGTTGTGTGATAAATTTGTTGTTTGTTTGTTTGTTTGTTTGTTTGTTTGTTTGTTTGTTTGTTTGTATGTTTTATCGTAGGATGCCCATATTCTGATCCGAAGCGGAGAGCTTGTGTCAACACTGGCTATCTATTTTTTTATTGTGTGATAAATTTGTTGTTGTTTTTCTCTCCCTCAGGTTGCGCGTTTCCTGATCCGGAGCGGCGCGCGTCGAAGCGTGCGGAACGCGGACGGCGACACTCCGGAGGAGCTGGTGGAGGAGGAAGACGCGGAGATGGAGAGCGTGTTCCGGGAGGAGGTGGAGGGCGTGGAGGGGGCTATCGGGGAGGCGGATGAGGAGGGGGCTCTGGGAGGGGAGGAGGAGAACGGAGGAGCCGTAGAGTGGAGTGACTCTGCCGGGATCTCTGTCAGATTCTATAACCCACAAAACGACGACGACGATGATGAAGATGATGATGACGATGATGATGAAGAAGATGATGATGATTACCGCCATATGAATGGCAAGGATGAAGATGAAGAGGAAGAGGACGACGAGGAAGATGAGGATATTGCAGCCAAACGGTTTTTGGCGAAGCTCAGACGAGATTCGGTTTACTTAGTGAAGCAGAAGAGACAATCGGAGGCAGACGCGGAGTCCTAAGTAGTGTACAAAAATACAAAGTAAAGATATGTTTTGTTGTTGTCCAGGTAGAAATGCGATGTAGTTGCCACGACTTGGAACTAACGGTTGTGAAGGACTGCCGGAGCCCAGAGCATCATACATAAGACACTCGTATCGTCGTGTCAACAATATATATATTCCAAGGCTAACTAAAAAGACCGCTGGCACTGTGAATGTAATTTCCTACACAAGAAATTGGACATACCCAGCTTTTCTACTGTACAAATACAGACTTTGTCAAGACACTGGCAATCCAACGCTTCTGTGACGTCACGTTATGCACTTACGTGAATCGGTGAGCATTGCATCGTAAGTTGCAGAAAGTCTGTGGCGTCCCCCGTCCTTGTTGAGGGCTGGTTACGATGCCCTGATGTAGATGGCCTCTTCAATATTATTGGTTTATTTTTTGTACATAGGAAAAGAGGGGAAAACTAAGCTCGTGGCATGTGTACAACGGAGTACTTCGGTTACAACCGCCATCAGGCGACGCACGGTGGTACTGCAACATCCGTGTTTCTGTGGGACGTTGTACAGTGCATGACCGCATCTTTTGGCTCTCTGGCGTTCTTATGATTATGAATGACGCATATATGTCAAAGTTAGTGGGAAGGAGGGGGGTGCTTTTTAAATGATAGCCCACCATCATCGTAATACGTGATGTGGAATTGGACTTCACGGAAATCACCCGTTTTAACAGCCAGACGAAGGGGTGAGGTGGGCAAAGATGTTACTAGTATCCGGAGGAATGGAATATCTGAGTGCTTTTGAGACTTTTGTAATTTAAGGATCTTTCTCTCTGTACGGTCTCAACAATTACTGATTCGGGGTTCCTGATGACTAGTGTGGCGTCATTTTCACATGTCCGTTCACGGTTCTCGTGTGATGTCGCGAACACTTTTTTTAATAGCGAAGTTTTTCTTTTATTCACAAACACTTGTTTAAGAAGAATCAACGTTTTTAGACGACCGCCTGTCATCTTCATCAAGGCAATGAAGCAACCAGCTTCAGGAGTGCATAGTGAACCAGTCATAACTGTCCCAATGAAACTAACAGACGGTCATCGAAATGTGGCTCTTGCTCACACCATTCCTCAGTTATTAAGTGAAAATGAACAAGTATGTCTGTTGTCCGTGCGTTTGTCTGCATTGGTGGCGGCATAAAAATAAGTTGGAAAGACTTGAGTGTGCCGTCGTCGTGTATTGTGACAAATGTTGGAATAGAAACAAGTGGTTGTAATTAAAGAATCATTCACCAAACTGATGAAATTATTCTCGGATACACAGCCTTTTTTTGTTTTCTCTGTCTACAAATTCAAACAAGTGGGAATCGCAGAATGTTGACATTAAGGCGTTTCTGTATTTATTGTTTAAAAAAAGCGATGTCGTTCTTCAGTGCGCATGCGTTGTAAACAGGCGTGCGCGCGTGTCATTTATTAATTGTTTATTTCTTCTCGTTGAATGTTCGAATGTTACTCCAGTTTACTTTTTACGACTTAATATTTCAAATTATAATAAAAGTGGTGAAAAAGTATCCCCTGTGTGTTTTGTTCTAACGTTGTTGACAACCATGGTAAAGACGAATATTAACACTACGAATGGAAATGTCCTGGTATTCTAAAAAAAATCTATGTCTTAGTGGCTGCAAGACAGTATCAAATTGGCAAGACAATATCATATGCAAGGCATTATCCAAGGTTGGTTGGCGAAAAAAATACTAGTACAAAAAAGAAAGCCCGACAAAAGCGTCTAAAACACCTAAAAATAAGCCAACGCCTTTCACCCTCTGCTTGGAGAGTAGTCTTTCTCGGCACACGTAGAAAAATACTAGCAATTGGAAACAAGTCTTATTATATTGTGGAACCATATTCTGCCAAGACAAACAGACACCAAAATAGAATTTCAGTCGTCTAGTTTATGTTTATTAGGAACTCCATTGATAGAAAAATAACGTAACAACAATGCAATATAACAATATGTATTCCTTTATAATTACTTGATGACTACATAGATAACACGTTGATACCGATTGCTAAAAAATACCAAACCACGACTACTCGTTGCAGGTCTAGTGATACTCTCCAAGCAGAGTTATGGGTTATATTTTTGGCGTGTTTTTAGACTGACTTTTTTATTGGGGTTTCTTTTTTTGCACTGGTGTCATTCCAGTGCAAAAAAAGAAACCCCAATTAAAAAAGTCTAGAAACACGCCAAAAATATCACCCGAAACCCAAACCTCTGCTTGGAGAGTAGTCTCGTGATGCATTCTCCTCACTGCTGTTTCTGTCTAGCCTGGGTACCATCCGGATTTTCGCTACGCAACGCTCGAAAAAATCAGGTCTGAGGCAGGAAATGTACATAGCGGGCATCAATGGGGTAGTGCAAGAGGTGATTTTTTCGAGCGTTGCGTAGCGAAAATCCGGATGGTACCCAGGCTAGTTTCTGTCGAGCCTTGAGAGTTCAGACCAGCCTATGTCCTCCGGGTGTGTCGTCAGTAGTGAACTCTGCACTCGTAAGAAACGAGTACAACATTACAGCGATATGCGTCTCCTATCAGCTTCTGTCCGATCCGCCTGCCCTATATCTCTCTACTACCGGGAGCCTCACTAATGCTTAGGTCACATTTCCAAACCGGGGCCCGGCCGGGTAGTCATTTGGAACGAAAAATATGGTATAAAACGCAACAAAGCACAGAAAGGTTGAAAAATATCAACAATGGAACTATTTACGTACATTCTTGACGAAAAGTGTCGATTTTTCGTTAGTCGAAACAGCCCGGCCGGGCCCCGGCTTGGAAATGTGACCCCAGCATTAAACCCCTATATAGCATCACCAGATAGCAGACCACCAGTCATGATCAGTCATTCGCCGTTATCTTGCAGTTGACGAATGGTGCGTGAAAAATGAGTTAGAAACGCGCCTGGAGTGCTCGCTTCTCAATTAGTTAGGTAAAAATGGAACAGATCGTATCGACATGCGAGGCAGTCTAAGCTGTCACAGCGATATCTAGCGGCTATTACAAGAGATGCAGCTTTCCACATCACTAATATTATAGCAAGATAATACAGAAACAAATATGGAAAAAAGAGATTACATGGTTTTTCGTGCAACTCGTCGTTGTGCCGCTATCATTTGTCAATATAGAATTAGATTAGTCTATGAAATATATAATGAATATAGTCCTATGTGGCCAAAAGACGGGCAAATGATTGTATCTTCGATATTAATATATAATGTATTGCAGTTGCGGTGAATGCTTTTCAGTCGTGATATTGATTCGTGTTCTCTACAAAGCAGGGTTCTCACCAGAATTTTGTAACAGCGTAGGGGTCAGGTACAGAAGGACAACTTTCGCACTGCCACCACTATTGCCTCCTTCAAAAGGAAGCTATGGGACTCTCTAGGCGACCCCTATAAGCCTAGGTGTATGACCCTGACCTCTCCACGTTAATGTATTGTATTGTTGTATCGTGCGTGTCAATGTTTGTCTTGTCAGCAGGGCAAGCTCTTAATAATAGCTGTCTGGCTAGTTGGGCTGCCCTGGCTGTACAATTTGTCTTTTTACAGCCGAACGAATAAATAAAAATAAACAAGTCAAGTCGCGCATTGAGTCCGGAAAAACATCACCACAGCAGGGGGTGTGGTATTCTTCCTGAAAAATTTTGAAACTCATAACCCCCTGAGACACTATTTCTCGCTTATTGATGGACAGATTTTGTGAAGTTTAATAAGGTTTTCCCTTTGCTATAGCTTCATTCTTAAGTTATAGCTTCATTTTATGCAAGATTTATGAAGGTTCTCTCCCCCAAAACACCCCGCTATGCTGGTTGAAAGATTGACAGCATAGGGGTCCAATTTACAGCATAGGGGGTCCAAATCACAGCATAGGGGGTCCAAATCACAGCATAGGGAGCCCCTATGCGCAAATAGCCTAGTCAGAACTATACATAGACTCCACACGCTTATAAAACGTGATACTGATTCATGTGTTTAAGACAGTGCTTTCCAAGGATTCATCGCTGCTATTAGACAAACTGGCGTTTTCCATCCATTGTGCACAGACCGTATAAACCCGTGATCATGAACCGTGGATTTAAAGCAGTCGCAGCTCAAAGCCATTGCCAACAACTGCTGGAAAGTTTAGCCTCCTGTGCCGACTTCTAGCGGGGCAGGGTCTGTTTTTACAACGCGGCTAGGGCGGCGGTTTCTTTGTGGGCCTTGTTCGTAGGTGGTAGAGCTGTAAGCGAGGAGTGGTAAGAAAAAGAGAGGAAAAAAATTGGGGAACCAGCGCTTCCCTACTCTGGAAGGTTTAGGCATCTGCTTAATTTGGCGTGTTTTTAGGCGTTTTTACCAGGCTGTCTATTTGTTCTGGTATCTACAAATGGTAACTGCCTGGCAAATGGATACTGCCTTTGCAGCCACCAAACAGTGCTTGAAGATTACGCTCCCTATCATCTGCCGGGCTTCGGGAGGCGGCTAGCTGGAAAGAGTAGCACCCAGGTGCGACAAACTGTACACTCTACCTGACCAACTCCCCTGGCATGTTATCTCTCTATTTGGCCAATTTCTACTTTTTCCAGCCGCCTCCCGAGGCCTGATAGAGGCTAACGCTCCCTCAGAATGCTGGTAGAGGCTAACGCTCCCCTGGCATGTTATCTAGTCTCTATTTGGCCAGTTTCTACTCTTTCCAGCCGTCTCCCGACGCCTGATAGAGGCTAAAGCTCCCTCAGAATGCTGGTAGAGGCTAACGCTCCACTGGCATGTTATCTCTCTGTTTGGCCAGTTTCTACTTTTTCCATCCGCCTCCCGAGGCCCGATAGAGGCTAACGCTCCCCTGGCATGTTATCTAGTCTCTATTTGGCCAATTTCTACTCTTACCAGCCGCCTCCCGACGCCTGACAGAGGGCAGGCTAACGCTCCCCACCCCCGCTCCAAGAAGTCTGCCCAGGAGGCTAAGAAAGTTTTTTTTTTTTGATTTTCTTATTCAGAAACACGATGATTACAAATGAAAAGACGTGGACTAAGTGACTGCGAACTCAAGTTAGGTACAACTTATATTCTCGCAGTCACTTTTACAATGAAAGAAAATATTTTACAAGACATTTAAAAATACATGAGACCTCGCGTGAGTAACAAACCTCCCATCCCAGAAGACACATACAGTTAGAATCTTTTTGTTTCTAATATATAATCTTGTGCGGCTAACATTATTTTGCAGTTTGTATCGCTAAGAAAGTTCTTGTGCTGCACAGCTGGCGACGTCACGTCAGGCTGCGTCTTCACTGGTTGAACGACTTCCGCTGATGAAACGTCTGGAGGTAATTGGCTGTGAAGAAAATTGCGGCACCTGGATACTTGTTCATCTCAAGAAGACAGCAGAATAGCATAATCATTTCGATACCATCAAAAGTTGAGAATGTTAAAAGTTTCGTGTTTCATGTTAAAAAATTAAGTGGGCGCCATCAAATTATTCAGTCATATGTAACATAAGGAAGATACACATCCGTTATGTACAAGGTAATTAAACCATTTTAGTTTTAATTAGGAAGAACGATTTTTTTCATCCGGATGACGATCAAGAAATTATGTGCTAATTGACATTGAATGATAAAATATTTTCGTTCTATGTTAGGATAGAGGTAGGATAGTGACGCTTGACAGACAGACAGACACAGACAGACAGACAGACAGACACACACACACACACACACACACACACACACACACACACACACACACACACACACACACACACACACACACACGACACGACACACACACGCACACACGCGCACACACACACACACACACACACACACACACACACACACACACACACACACACACACACACACACACACACACACACACACACACACACACACACACACACACACACACACACACACACACACACACACACACACGCACGCACACACACACACGAACGCTACCTAAAACATAACCTTCTTGACGAAGGTAAAAAAGAAGATGGATTCATCTTATAGTTGATACTT